CCCCTCCTATAAAGCCCCCTACCTATTCCAGCCAAGCTGCTGCACTCTGAACCTGAGAGGGGCAGCCCAGCAGTCTGTGCTTCAATAAATCTTTCTTTTCTACACGTGGCGTGGTCTTTGTTCAGCAGTTCCTTACACATAAATGAAAATAGATGAAAGCAACCTGTCGAAATTGTTCTAAGTAGTGGAATGTGGGGAAAAGGGTGAGAAGGATGGAGAGGGTAAATCTAGCTAAGATATATTGTAAGCACATAAAGTAAATATAACAATAAAAATTTTTGAAAATTAGAAAAATGATTACATCATCTTCTACATTTATTGAGATGAACATGTGATTTTTATCCTTCATTCTGTTGATGTGATATATTAAATTTATTGAATTCCAAATGCAGAACCATCACTCCATCCTGGGGATGAAAACTAGTTTCTTGAGAGTGCTTTTTCTGTTTTACTATTAAATACAATTTGCTAGTCTTTTATTGAGGAGTTTTATATTTGTATTCATTAATGACATTGGCCAATAATTTTCTTTACATAATTTTATCTTTTTCACATTTTCACAGGAGGGTAATTTTGGTATCATAGAATGAGTTTTGAGTGATTCCCTTTCACTGCTTTGGAATAGATTGAAAATTTCCTTTAGCTCTTCTTTAAAAGTTTGATAAAATTCAGCAGTGAAACCATTCGTCCTTGGTTTTTCTTTCTTAGGAGACTTAATAAACATTTAATCTCATTTTTTATTGATCTATTTATTATTTTTATGTCACAAATATTAAATTTTATGCAGCATGTGTCCATAAATTATGAATTACTTCTAGGTTTTCCTGTTCATTTCTATACAATTCTTCAGAATAATCTCTAATGATCTTTTTTATTTCTGTGGTAATACACTTAATGCATCCTTTTTGATCTCCTATCATTCAGGGCATCTCTTTTTCCTTCATTAGTTTAGTTAAAGGTTAGGTGATTTTAATTATCTTAAAAATAACTTATTTCATTGCTTTTATTCTCCATTTTTTGTTTTACTTTGTGTACTTTTTATTTCTTCCTTTCTGTTAAAAAATCAGCCACTTGTGAGAAAAAGTAAACACACACACACATACTCACAATCTTTATTGCCAGAATCATTTTCTTTTTTTCAGGTTTAATTCCTCTCCAAGAGAACTTTTGAAGAACTTTGTGTGTTGTCTTCCTGTCTCTTTGTTCTCTAACTTTACCTGTATCCTTCGGCCATGGGAGCTTAGTTAGCATTTCTGGTAAGGGCTCCAAAAACCAGAATACTGCTAGAAACTTGCAGAAGGAAGGAGTGGGAAATAAAGGCAGAAAAATGATCAAATATCATTATGAAACTCTGTTAAAAGAAAGGAGTAGATAAGAATGAATAATAAAGGGGGAAAATTTAACCAAAGTACATTATATGTGTATATTAAACTACCACAATGGAACTCCTTTATACAATTAATTTATGTTAATGAAATACGTATAAGAAAAGAAATGTGGAGAGTAAGGCCAGGTTCATGAAGTTTCAGATGGAAATGAGGACTGTATTGGGAAGTGGTCCTAAAGCTGTCTGTGTTACATTCTGGTACTGAACTTGTCTATATTTTGTCCATGCTCTGAGATGTTATACTGGATCTAAAGGTATTGTACTACATTATCTTATGGAAGAAATTTTAAGGTATCACAATACTAAGGCATGGCATGAGCCCAAGTTTGTCTTACATGTCAGCATAGATTTTTGGTTTCTTTTAGTGAATTTTTATTGAAAATTGGCAGCAAAAAATTGAAAGAGAAATATTTGAAATACTTGTAGTTCAGCCAGAAAAGAAGCAAATTTAAAGTTGTCACTAAAGCTAGTGAGATTGCTAAAGAGATTACTATCATTGAAAAAGGGCAAAGTACTTTGCACTGGAATAATAAAAAATGAGTTGAGGGCATTTCAGGAATTTACAAGACCACTTTCCTATCTTAGGCTCAAGCTCTTATTTAAGAAGAGGTCCCTGGGGTGCCCTGCATGCAGAGGGCAATCCAGAAAATAGTTTCTCCAGGATGCCACCCACCACCACCACATGTTCATCCATCCAGGAATCCAGAGGCTGCTGCAGCCATGGTTCAAATGGCACATGTACAGCTCAGGCTGATCTTGGTGGCAGATCTTGGCACGATCTGTGTGATGCTAGTTATACTGTCACTCAGAACTCTATTGTTATAGGTCATGGAGACTTCCACTGATATTTCAAGGGAAGGCCAGGGAGGCCAAGCTTTTTGTGACAGGATCAGAATGCCTGAAGCAGTCCTAAACTGGATAATGCATGAAGTTGTGAGAGTGAAGCAGAAATTGGCATGAAGATTCCAGGAAGTTAAAAGATACCATGTGTGCATCCAAAGGCTACCCTTCCAAAGGATGCCTTAAGAGCAAGGGGAGCCAGCCCAAGAGAGGCGACAAATGGACTGCAGCCAACAAGGCCATAGTGTCACGGAATGTGAAGATATATTCCTACTCAGAACCATTCATAAATTGCCAAACATGTCCAAAATCAGGCAGAAAATTTTATTCAACAACTAACGAATGGAAAAGGATTTCATGCCCTAAAATTACCTTCTCACTGAATACCTGTGGAGTCTAGGCTTTTGCTTACACAGAATGATTAGAGGTATGGTGGCCATGCTGTCATCAGAAGTTTTCATGCAAAGGGGATGAGACTTCCAGAGATTGGAGTAACAGTTCTAAAATTCCTTAATTTGAGCATTATCAGATTTGTCATGCATAATTCTTTTAAACTATTATTATTGTAATAAGATTTGAATCAGCTCAACATCCTCTGGAGTGTTAATATAGCTCCTGGCCAAATTTAGTTGCTCTGGAGAACTCTCCAAAGGGGCTAGGTATATGTGAAAATTTAATGGTTGTCAGCTAGAAGCTTATGGTTATCCAGGAACTGACTTTATTTCTACAAGCAAAGAAGCATCTGCTAGTAGATGGAGATGATTGGATAATAGGTGATTAGCTATTTTGGGATTCAGAATAATGACAGTGGGGTGGAAGGGCATAAGCTCTTAGGGTTCCACATACCAGAACCTTGTTCCCTGAATTATAGACATGGTGCTAGAGGATTTAATCTTTTCCCTGGTTTCAGTTTTGCTTCTATCCAACTCCTCCTTGCTATTTTCCTATTCCTCCCTTTTATAATAGGAATTTTTATTCTTCATTTGTTTGTTTTTAGCACTACTGGGATTTGAGTGCATGTCCTCATGCTTGCTAAGCAGTTGCTCTACCACTTGAGCCACTCCACCAGCTCCTTTGACTAGAAACTTTTATGCTCTATCATTGTATCCTGGTATTGTGTATGTTGACATATATTTGGGTATGCAAATGATTATTGTTATGGTAGAGTTACCTGAAGTATTTGGTTTTGTAATGTGCTGTACTGATTTTTGGTCTAGGAGTAATAGTCTATACAATATTGGCTAGGGGTATACTAAGTTATATCATTTAGGTTTATCTAAGCACACTTTGATGTTTGCAGAGTAATGAAATCACCCAAAACCATATTTCTGAGAAAAAAATCCCCATTGTTACCTGATGCTTGACTGTGTGTGTGTGTGTGTGTGTGTGTGTGTGTGTGTGTAATATATATATATACATAGTACATGCTGCTTTCTTGGCAGTTTTGTTATTGATATTTAACATGCTAATGGCTTATGTTGATTTATTATTCTACCACTATATCAAATCTACTCATCTCTTTGTTACTGATTGAATATGAATTTTCCCCCATAGACTCATATATTGAATTGAATGTTTTGTCCCCTACTGTTGGCACTATTCTGGAGGTGGTGACAACTTCAAAAGGTGGGGCTTAGCTGGAGCAAGTAGGTCACTGGAAGCATGACTCTGAAGGTCAGACCTAGTTCCTGATCTCTTTCTCACTCACTGTTTTTTGTGTACCCTGAGTCAAGTAGTTTCTGCCACATGCTCCTGGATCCAAGATATTCTGTGTCAGGACAGACCCAGAATCAACAGAGTCAAAGATTATGGACTGAAAACGCTGAAACTGTGAGCAAAAATAAATATATTCTCCTTTTATGTTGGTCTGTCAGGCATTTTGACACAATGATGGAAACTGACTAGCATATACTACCAACAGTGCTCTTTTTGTGGAATGCTAAGCTATCTATCTATCTATCTATCTGTCTATCTATATAAAGCACACACACATATAAGACCATTTTATATCTCTGTGTTCTTCAATATCTCTGGCACAGCCTTACTGTAGTCTTACACTATTACTCAAGCAGTCCAGTGAAATAACAATTGAGTACTCCTGTCTTTGGCCCATTGTTCTAGAGGGAAGCATTCCATGAACTTTTAGCCAGCCATCTTGCTTCTGTTGTATGTTTTGTTCAGGATTTCTTATTGGAGTAATGAAATGCTTGAAAACTTATCAAGCATTGATTAAATGCTTCTGAAAATGAATTGCTTTCGGAAATTCTATTTCTTTTCTGAAATAGAATACAAAACAATGACAATATGTTTTCAATTTATGAATTGGATGTATGTGAATTCTATTTTATCAAAGTTCCCTATGAAATTTCTTATTTTGTGATATTCAAGAAATGTTGATCAGTTGTGTAATTATTATATCTCTATTTTGATGTCAAAAAGAATGCAGGCAAATCACCTTCCAACTTTTTTTGTGATTATAAAACGTCTTTTATAATACAGGTGATGTGCAGATGCAGATCATGGATGGACTCTAGCCTCCATAAAAGTGCTTAGTTACAAAAGAGATATTGAGCATACTTGTTTAATCAGGAGGAAATTTAAATTTGTGTTTCACTAGGTACTGTGAGTCCACATGCTCTGATTTGTCCTTAATATATTTACTTTGACCAATGCAAGTTATATTTTAACTTCCAGGTTAATTTCTTCTTAAATATAAGCACAAGTAATTGATAGGGGGAACACAATTTGAAAGGAGTCTCTTCTTTTAACTAGGATGGCTTTGAAATGGATTCCATTTCTGTTGTTACTACAGCTGAGTCATTACTTCAACTCTGGAAGTGTGGAAAAGTGCTGGTTTGGCCAGTGGAATATAGCCATTGGATGAATTTAAAGACAATATTGGATGAACTTGTACGGAGGGGTCATGAGGTGACTGTTCTGAGACCGTCATCTGCTATTATTGTGGATATCAATGAACCATCTAATATTAAATTTGAAACTTTTCCTTCATCTTTCAAAAAAGAAGAAATGAATTCTTTCTTCATGAAATCTGTCATGATGTGAACATATGATATCTCAAAACATTCATGTTTGTCATATTTTCCATTGTTGGAAGAAATGTTTATGGAATATTCTGACTTTTGGGAAGCTATTTGTAGAGAAGCAGCTTCAAACAAGAAACTTATAGCAAAGCTACAAGAGTCAAGATTTGATGTCCTCCTTGCAGATGCTGTCAGTCCCTGTGGTGAGCTGCTGGCTGAGATACTCAAATTTCCTTTTGTGTACAGTCTCCACTTCATTCCTGGGTACACGTTCGAAAAATATAGCGGAGGACTTCTGTTCCCTCCTTCTTATGTACCTATTATTTTGCCAGGATTAAGTGGTCAAATGACATTTATGGAAAGGGTATAAAATATGATATGCATGCTTTATTTTGACTTTTGTTTCCAGACATTTAATGAGAAGAAGTGGAATCAGTTGTATAGTGAAATTTTAGGTAAGTCCTGTATTTTTATGGGTAGAATATAATCTGAACTTTCATGTGACTTTGGAGATATTCTTCTATGCATGTAAAATAAGAAGAATTTGTCCTTTATTGGTGAAATGATTAAATGAACTATATATGGTCTACCAATATCACAAAGACCATGGAAAATCTTATATTATAGGGTTAGAGAAGTCAATGGCCCATTCCTGAATAGGATATTCTAGAAGGTCATATAACTAGATAGTGAATCATATATGCTTTCTCTATTTAATAACATTTCCATTTTACAGTATTTTGTTGTTTATAATAAAAAGTCACTAGGTTTCTCCCAAATATCTTAATGAATAAGTAAGTATTTGTAGATTCAGGAGTTACCTATGCTTCAGTATAACCGTGTATGTAGCAAAAAGGAAATTATTTTCCTTGATGTCAATTAATTTCCTTATTTCAAAGTCAAATGTTTTTGTCTGTATTTCCTAAAGGGGCTCCTTACTCTTGAGAGATAGAGTGCTTTATCACAAACTCAAAAACTATATCTTGAGGTTTCTCATGACTATATTCCTTTGTTACGTACTTTCCATTCATCCATTTCACAGGTCTAAAATCTTTTAAAGGGAGATATACATGCAGTTACTTTGTACTGTTTTAAATAATGTTGCTTAATTTTTTAAAAAAAATCAGCAACAACTAAGCTTAAACACAAATCTCTACTTCCATTGTTTTTAAACAGTTTCCAAGTGATATTTGCAACCATTTCTATCTAATGAATAAATAGTACTTTTTATACTTTATTTTTACTAGTATTGTGCTGGGGGTACCTTGTGACATTTACAAAGTTTCTTATAATTGATCATAGTTAAATTCACCCCATTCCATCATTTTTCTTCATCACTCCTCCCTTGGTTCCTGGAATTGTTTTAACATGTCTCATTTTTTCATTTACATACATGTGTACCGAATATTTCCACCATATTCACCTCAACCTCCTAACATGAACAAAGAAGCAGAAGTTACAAGAAATTCATCCAGTCATAAAGCTCACTGATTACTTGGAAAAACGAGGATTAAGGACTAGTTTGTTAAATTGTAGAAACTCTACAGACAATCCTGGTGAAGTTATTTTTATGACTACAGTATAGTTAACTGGATGCAGAATCTTTTTTTGGTTCATTTGTTTCTTGTTTATTTTTTGCATCTGGTACTTTTGATGCTTGAGAGAAAAAAGTGCATGCCTAATTAGTGACTTACTTTAATGACTTAATGATTGTTAATATACTGAGGTGACATTGGAGATATAATCTCTTTCCATTTTGTCTTTCAGCCACATAAACATATATGTACATAAAACTTGTAAACTAAAAATAAATTAGACAAGTAAATTACATCATACATAAAGATATTTATTTTATCAATGATTTTTTTGTCATTAACTTCCTTTTTTTTTCCTCTTTCTCTATTTAGGAAAACCTACAACCTTAGCTGAGACAATGGGGAAAGCCAAAATTTGGCTCATTAGATCCTACTGGGATCTGGAATTTCCTCACCCAGCCTTACCAAATGTTGATTTTGTTGGAGGACTTCACTGTAAACCTGCCAAACCTCTGCCTAGGGTAAATATATTCCGCTTGTTAGTTCTATTTCACTTTATTTTCAATGAAAATGGTTCTAAGCCATTCATTCAGAGTTTTGCTTACAGTTAGAGAGATATGGGAAGTCAGATAAAGCATTGTCAATTATAAATGAATTTTTAAACCATCATAAGTTTTTGCATTTCATTATAATTAGAGAATAATATGGTAGACCTTGGAGATGATCAGAACAGAGTCAGTCAAATCAAGGTCTTAATTATTCTGCACATTATTATCACTCATTCATTCAAAAATTTTAATGTTGTTAGCATACACCAGCAATCAGTGTTGGATATTCAGAGAAACAGCATAGACACTTTCTGTCTTAACACTCCTACCTTATAGTCCATCTGGAAAGATAGACTGTAATTTATTAATGATTGAGTAGAAATATTTTTGAAAAGAAGGGTTACAATGTTAAGAGACCATTTACCAAGAACCTAGATACCTTCCCAGAGTCATTGAAAGAAAATGAGATAAGAACATTTGCAGGAATTGGTCAAATGATGATAGTGAGAAAGATACAAGCAGAAAAAGCAAATAATAGTAATAACAATTCCCAAAAATTAAAGTTTACTTTACCAAAAAGAAGGATAATAAAGAGGCAGGCTAACTTTGCTAGAATTGAATTATCATTCAGAATCCCCAAATTAGAAAGAATTTCAAATATTAATACAGACATCAAAAAGTCAGAGAAAAAATTCCTTTTAAAAAAAGCCTTCAGAATGTAATCGCTCAGTTGTAATTGCTGTGGAATGGAAGCATTTAGGATGTTGTTATAAGAGGTCAGGGAATAGATTATGGAACGTAGACTATAATGTTCATATAGATGATGAGACCTACTCATATAACAAAAGTAAAAACCTTATATTGAGTTCTTTTAAAAAATTAGTATATAACACTTTTACAAGGTGATACATTGTGATATTTATTGCAACATTTCCTTGCTCTCACTCTAGCATTTAAACCATTCCTTACTTGAGATATCAGAGTTTTACAACTTAGGGGGAAAAAAGATGGCTTACTTTATTTGGACAGATGTTTGATGATTTATGTCAAGTTTATAAGTCACCTCAGTAAAGTTCCCTCAGCCAAATTCTCCTCTGTTATCATAACTGCCTTACTGAAGCATACAGAAAATCTATACCAAAGATGAACACCTAATAATTTATACCATTTATTTCTGAAAATAGGCATTAGGTTTGAATTACAAACGAATTCTGTCAGCATTTAGGATAATATCTCTTAAGAATGTATGTCCCTTATTATCTACTACCATCTGATATCATGTTTTTAAGACACACACAAATTAGCTTTCTTTCCTGCTATAACATATTATCTTTTATGAGTTTCTTTTTCTCGACCTTGTTAATAGCAGCAATATAAAACTACAATCTTATTAAATGGTAAAAATCCAATATTCCTTTTGAATGCAACTTTTTAAACTATATACAGTGTAATTATCATAAGACCAAAAACTGGGGTAATGTTTATGTAAGTTATTAATATAAACTCCTTGTACTTGAAGATTCTCAATTCAACAAATTTCTAAAATCCACTAAAATGACTGTATCAGAGTTATTAGGAATGGGAAACTGAGAAAGAGGAGAAGGAAGACAAGGAAAACAAGGAATTTCAATATAATGGCAATAATTAGTAGTAATATCTGTTGTTATTAATTTACACAAACAAGATTTGAATCCAACTCAAATAATGTGAAGTCTGTCTTCTTCTATGTTAAATATATCTGTCTTGTTACAAATGACTTTCTTTTCCTTTAATTATCTAATGCTCATATGATTTCCATCGCTCCTAAAAAATGAGAAAGCTTAGAAATTGAATCAAGTCTTCACAATGTACCCTTTGGCTATATAAGATACTCAAAACCATACAAAGAAAAATAATAATGATGGGCAGAATCAATATTTGTAACAACTGTTAGTGAAAGGAAACATTGTCAGTAACTTAAATAGCTAGCATTAGGAATAATTATATAACATATATATCACATCATTAAATTCATTTCACTAAAGAATCCTTAATAATACTAAACAGGACAAAATAGGAAATTTAAAGGGAAACAAAGGGAAAAAGGAGGTAAATAGAATAAAATCACATTGTTTGTAGGTGGAAAAATAATATAAATGAGAATTAGACTTTTCTGAACATATGTCCCATAATATTAATTAACTACAGAGTTTTAGTTTTGCAAGAAGAAAATGGAACATTGTTGCACAGTAACATGAACATGGTTAGCACTGCTACATTTACACTTAAACAAGACTGTGCTGGTAAAATTCTGCCTTATGTGTATTTTGCCACTACGACTCCTCTAATAATTCCTGATAAGACTTGACTTTACCTCTGTAGATTTTATAGCCACCCTCTCACTAGTGTAAACTCTGCTATTGTTCTTTTGTGATGGAGAAAATTCTTTCTTCACAGGAAATGGAAGACTTTGTCCAGAGCTCTGGAGAAGATGGCATTGTGGTGTTTACCCTGGGATCAATGGTACCTAACATAACAGAAGAAAGGGCCAATTCTATTGCATCAGCCCTTGCACAGATTCCACAAAAGGTTAGGTAATGTAATTCAATAGTGGATAACTACTGAAGGAGTCACAAATTCTGGTAGGGTCTGATTACGGTAAAATGTAAACTGTTTTGATAGTTCTAATTATCTTAGCTAGTTTAAAAACAAAGATAAATGTGGCAGATGATAAAATAGTACAGAAGGTGTTTTTGATTGACAATAACTTTGACATGAATGTTGTCATGAGAAAGAAAAATAGTTAAGAGTCAGTGTGAAAGTTTGGTATTATCATAATATTGCTAGCAAGTGTACACAGAAATCATCAAATCTGCCCAGTCAGTTCTTTTCCTTGCAAGATTGTTTAAGGCCACTGAGTACACTAAAGATGTTTCAGAACAGAGTTACTTATTATTTAACAACTGTGCTATCACAATAACACTAAACAGTTACTGAAAAAGTTTGAAATGCATCATGTAGTTTAGACTTCTTGTGTTATCTTTACCTCATTATTTGGCTTAATTTTGGTATAGGTCAATTTAGAGTACAGTAAGGGGGCTATTCCTAGAAAGGAAAACCAAGACTAACCAGTGCTGAATGTGTCTATTCAGTCATGTAAATTAAGAAACAGAGAAAAACAGCTTGCCCTTTTGGATAAGGCCTTGCTGATATCTGAGCAGGAAGTGTAAATAGAAGGGTGGACTGAGCCCTGTCCCTAGAGTGAACCCTGGGCATTATGAAATATGACCCACAAGGACTTGGCTTCTGACCCATTAGATTGTATCTCCTCTCAGCTGAGGAAAAGAGAGGAAAATATGAAAGCCAAACAGAAATAAACCTGTCCTAGGAAGGCAGAACATTCTTCAAGTGCCCTACTTAAGAACTAAGTTCTATCATATAGTAGAGTACCTGATTAGCAAGCATTAGGCCCTGAGTTCAAACCCCAGTAATGGAAAAAAAAAAAGAAAAAACAAGAATTTCGATTTTGTGTTGGCTGGAGCCGGAGTAACAAGATGGCGGCGTGGGCGGAGTGACAGGGGTCCCTCCGGGCCGGAGCCGGCGGCAGTGGTGGCAGCGGTATCGCCACCGTAACTTCACTGCGCCCCTTTTCCAGGCCGCGACGTCGCCGCGAAAGCGAGACGGCGACGGCCGCCCAGAAACAAGTGGCCGAGCCTAAGTAAACCGCGACCACCCTTCACGAACTGCGGCCTGGGAAAAAAGAAGCCTGACAGCCCCCGGTGACCCGGTTCCCTTGGCCGATTCTGGGCCCTGTAGCGCCGGGGAACATCTCCGTATTCCGCCTCCTGCCGCCCCCGGTGAACGAGCCCCGCAGGCCTCGCTCCCGCTTAGAGGTGTCGGGCTCGGCCCCAGCCTCCATCTTCGCGTCTCAGGATGGCGAGCTGCAGCGGCTCCAAGGCCGAATTCATTGTCGGAGGAAAATACAAACTGGCGCGGAAGATCGGGTCTGGCTCTTTCGGGGACCTGGCGATTAACATCACCAACGGCGAGGAAGTGGCAGTGAAGCTAGACTCTCGGAAGGCCAGGCATCCCCAGTTGCTGTACGAGAGCAAACTCTCTAAGATTCTTCAAGGTGGGGTTGGCATCCCCCACATCCGGTGGTATGGTCAGGAAAAAGACTATAACGTGCTAGTCATGGATCTTCTGGGACCCAGCCTTGAAGACCTCTTCAACTTCTGTTCAAGAAGGTTCACAATGAAAACTGTACTTATGCTAGCTGACCAGATGATCAGTAGAATTGAATATGTGCATACAAAGAATTTTATACACAGAGACATTAAGCCAGATAACTTCCTAATGGGTATTGGGCGTCACTGTAATAAGTTATTCCTTATTGATTTTGGTTTGGCCAAAAAGTACAGAGACAACAGGACAAGGCAACACATACCATACAGAGAAGATAAAAACCTCACTGGCACTGCGCGGTATGCTAGCATCAATGCACACCTTGGTATTGAGCAGAGTCACCGAGACGACATGGAATCATTAGGGTATGTTTTGATGTATTTTAATAGAACCAGCCTGCCATGGCAAGGACTAAAGGCTGCAACGAAGAAACAAAAATATGAAGAGATTAGTGAAAAGAAGATGTCCACTCCTGTTGAAGTTTTAGGTAAAGGGTTTCCTGCAGAATTTGCCATGTACTTAAACTATTGTAGTGGGCTACGTTTTGAGGAAGCCCCGGATTACATGTATCTGAGGCAGCTATTCCGCATCCTTTTCAGGATCCTGAACCACCAATATGACTACACATTTGATTGGACAATGTTAAAGCAGAAAGCAGCACAACAGGCAGCCTCTTCCAGTGGGCAGGGTCAACAGGCCCAAACCCCCACAGGCAAGCAAACTGACAAAACCAAGAGTAACATGAAAGGTTTCTAAGCATGAATTGAGGAACAGAAGAAGCAGAGCAGATGATCGGAGCAGCATTTGTTTCTCCCCAAGTCTAGAAATTTTAGTTCACATGTACACTAGCCAGTGGTTGTGGACAACCATTTACTTGGTGTAAAGAACTTGATTTCCATATAAACTGGCTCTGGACAGCATTGCAGCATTGGTGATGCTGTATCCTGAGTTGTAGCTGCTGTAATTGTGAATATTAACTGAGATAGTGAAACATGGTGTCCGGTTTTCTATTGCATTTTTTCAAGTGGAAAAGTTAACTAAATGGTTGACACACGCAAATTGGTGGAGAAATTGGTGCATATGCCAATCTTTTGTTAAAGCCTTTTATTTTGAACTATACTGCTTTTGAGATCTCATTTCAGAAGAACGGCATGAACAGTCTTCAGCCTCAGTTGTGATGGTTGAAAATGCTCACAATTTTGCATTCTTAGGGTTTTTCCATCCCTAGGGTTTGCAAGTTGTTCACTTAAAACATTCTTTAAATGGTTGGCTTCTTGTTTGCAAGCCAGCTGATATGGTAGCAACCAAAGATTCCAGTGTTTGAGCATATGAAAGACTCTGCCTGCTTACCTGTGCTAGAAATAACAGCATCTAAAGTGAAGACTTAAGAAAAACTTAGTGACTACTAGATTATTCTTAGGACTCTGCATTAACTCTATAATGTTCTTGGTATTAAAAAAAAATATTTGTCACAGAAATTTAGTTAACATCTACAGCTGAACATGTATGTATGTTGCTTAGATAAATGTAATCACTGTAAACATCTATATGATCCGGGATTTTGTTTTTATTTTGAAATGGGAGCTTTTTTGTTTACAAGTTCATTAAAAACTAAAAACTGTTTCTGTAAGGAAATGATTTTTTTAAACAACACAACAAAATGCCTTGCTGACTCACTATGAAATAAAAATCTTCCCAGTTTTTTGATAGACTACTTTAAGCCATTTGTTACATGATATTCGTTTGCAAGTTGATGAAAATTTAGTGTATAAATTCTCATTTTAAAATTTTTTTCTTTTGTTCTGAAGGGAAAAGGCATTCTTTCACTTTGTTTTTTTGGTTTGTTTGGTTTTTGTTTTGTTTTGTTTTGTTTTTTAATGACTTGCAGGCACAATACCTAGTACTGCAGCTGCCAGAACTTGGCATGGTAAATCCTGCTACCACTGACTAGCAGCTGGACTGATTGTGAATAAGAATGAAAGCATTAAAGGGTTTAACTACAAAATATTTTTCTTTAAAATACTTGTGAAATGACTGTAAGTAGTCGACTCTTGTCCTCTGAGAGTGTCATACCCTGTGAAGTTGAAGTGATTGTTGACTCTCTCCCCACCCAACCTGCTTCTATAAGGTTACCTGTGTGTGCGCGCTTCCTCTCAGTGTTAATTGTGCACTGTTTCACTGATCCAAAAGAAAGGAAAACTTACAGTAATTCTTAAATAGTGTAATTTATTCATTTATAGCATGTCAGTCTAAATTAAAAGAACATTTGTCGGAAAATACCGCCAGGAGCCTATTGTGTAAATGTAGGTATTTTGTACAACAACCTTGGAATTGTAAATTTATGCATTTGGTCAGATTGTGTAAGGCTTAATTTGGCTTTGGTTTTTTCCTTTTTTGATTTGAAAACTACTTTAGCAATAATTAATTCCATGATTGCCACATTCTGCCATTAAGGGATTTATTAGTACAGTAATACTGAAGAAATCTTATCGAGTGAATTTTTGGGTAGGCAGCTTCTTTGTTTTTTTTCTAATCACCCTGTCAGTTAGGGTATTTGTTTCTTGCCTAATAAACCCTTTGATACTTTTAGCCAGAAATCAATCTCATAAACCTATTTTTGAATATAGTTTGTGTAAAATAAAACTGTTTAGCTTTGGTAATAACTTTTCCAAGCTGAACTCCCTCTCTAGCAAGATATTTTTCAGTGCTTTTATTTACTATGCACTTAGACTATGCACTTTTTCTGAAATATTTTTGTAACACTTTTTTGTATTTTTGCCATTTGAAAAGGTTGTGGTGTGGTTGGTCTGTAATTAAGTTGCAGATTTAAAACTGCTGTTAGCTTTGTAAATCAAAATGTAGGTGTTTTTGTCCTGGTACACCGTCATTCCATCTGCAGCTGGAGCTGTAATCCTATTGATCTTCTAGCTACCATTCATTGTCTTCACAGTTCACAAAAGAAGAATGTGAAATTCAGTGAATGCTGTTACTAATCCTGTCAGGAGATGAATCTCATTTCATCAAAATTAAGTTATGTTTTTCCAATAAAGTGATGATACAAGTTGAAGACACATCACTCTGAAATTGGAAGACCTCACCACTTAAGGCTCCACAGTGGCTTACTCAGGCTTGAACTCTAGGTTACTATTCTTTACTTTGTTCACCCATTGGGGGGTGCAGTTTTTTTTTTTTAATGTTGGGAGATGGCCATTCTAACTACTGTTGAATGTCTGTTTTGGGAAGGTATAACAAGAAAATAAAAAAAATATATATGAAGGGAGAAAAAAAAACAAGAATTTCTATCACATATAATCCAACTTTAATCTCTGATTTTTTTGTTTTTACTTTTCTATCAGATACATCCTTCTTCCTGTAACCATCTATGCTGGGTTTTTTTGGTAGTTTTTGGTTTTTTACTAGAAACATAAAGCTACATTTAACATTCACATCAAACAGATATTAAACATGGGTAAATGACTCTCCCGTTTATGAAGATGTTTGGAATTTCTAAAACCAATACCTTATTTAGGGACTAGGTGTGGAATGTGTTTATTACAGCAAACCACATTAATCTCTGTTGTGAATCTTTTGTAGTTAACTTGAAAATGTCAGTGGTCAGTTGAAAAATTATAGCATCATTAAAACATTGGATACATTCAAAAGCCATATGATTTATGAACTGCAAATTAGGTCTATTTGGTATCATTAAAGAACTTCCATTCGTAGCAATAGTGATACCATTATTGATTCCTTTTCAAAATGTCTCTTGCAGTTTATTATGAATGTGGTGACTAATAATTTATTTTCTAGAACAATTTTTATGTAATTCCTCAGCAGAATTAATTGATTTCTCATGAGGAGATTTGATTTTTTGCATGTTAAAAACTCAAACTCACTTTTTGCGTATGTGCCGGTGGAGGAGGCAATAGTTTCCTCCACACATGTAGAACAACACTGGTGAGTTCGCAAAACTGTACTTGTCACAGAAAGGCTCTGCCAGCACCCATGGCACTTTTGCTAAGGACCACATGTCCATTCAGATGAACATGCCTGAGGGTGACAAGGTCTTGGGAAGGTTTAATGATGAATTTAAAACTTTCATTTTGTGTAGCCAGTGCCAGAAGTAGCCAGTCAGATGACTCAAATCTGTTAGTGGCCAAGCCAGAGGGCATCTTTTCAAAGAACTTCTGACTAGAGAAAACTGTGGATGTGAAATATTTTTCATAAACAAAGAAATACACAAAAAATGTCAAACTCTAAAAAAAAAAACTTACAGAACATGTGAATATAATCAAATTATACCATCACTTTAAAAAGTTTAATAATTAGCCCAGTGCTGGTGGCTAATTAGCCCAGTGCTGGTGGCTATAATCATAGCATGAGGCAGAGATCAGGAGGATCACAGTTCAAAGTCAGCCCAGACAGATAGTTTGAGAGACCCTATCTTCAAAACACACAAAATAAAAAAAGGCTGGCAATGTGACTCAAGTGGTAGAGCGCCTGCCTACCAAGCATGAAGCTCAGCATTTGACCCCCACTAGTGCTAAAACCAAAATTAATAAAGGATTAATATTGATATTAGAAGAAGAGAGCCAAACTAGTATGTATATTATGAAATAAAGATGTAAATCACTGGTAATTTGTTACTGTACTTGTACTAGTATTATGACCGCCTGAAAATTTCTTAAATACATTCATTTATCACTTATTACCACATTTGTCCAAGTCACTATATGTGAAAAGTCATGACTACAATCAACTTTATTGAATATAAAAGCAATAACTGCATATGTCAGTAGTCTCTTAGTCTCAGTCTTTTAATAGTTTTCATTAAAAAGTCCTCACTTCTCATCTCATTAGTAAGCCTTCATTTCTCCATCTGCCGTGTGAAAGGCAATTGTCTCTAAAGTTGAAAATGTTATACTTTAAAATTTGAATCCTGGAATAATGTCTTGACTGCAATTCACAGGCTCTGTGGAGATTTGAGGTTGAGAAACCAGCCACCTTAGGAGCCAATACTCGGCTGTATAATTGGCTCCCCCAGAATGACCTTCTTGGTAAGACTCTGGAGAAAGAATACTGAAAACAAGTATAGTTGAAAATAACATAACAAAACAAACTGAAGGAACATTTGTTATTGGAAAACTCAAAAATAAAACCAAACCCTTTATGTTTATTTTCTAGTCCTAAAGGAAGTAAACTATGCACCATTGCCATTTTATCAGTCACCTTGTTTATGGTCAGAAACAAAGAATCATTTTTTAAAATTTTATTTCCACAAGACTGGGACTGTAAGAGGGTATTATATATGCTAGGCATACATTCTACCACCAGGTACCATCCTTTTTTCCCCTTTATTGTTGTGCTGGGTTGGAGTATTGTGGCATTTACACAGATCACTTAGACAACATTTCAGGATAGTTACCACTTGCAGAGAATGTTGTATAATTACCTGGTTTGTTCCTGCTTCCTCTAATTTAGTTATCTGTCCTTTCCACTTAAGTATATGTATTTCCAATCTACTTGGGGGTGGGGGAAAACCACCTTGTTTCATTGTGAATGATTCTGTTTTCTATGGGAAAAACATTAACATCTTATCTTGATGTGATAACACTCTTTCTCCAATTCCGGCACCTCTTCTTGCTGCCTTTGACAACCTTCATATTGGCGTTAATGTATTATATCTTTAAGAAAACATATTATAACATGTACACAAGCTTTCTTTGGGACTTGGCTTCTCTTATCCACTATGTTCTCTTTCTATCTATTTAACTGGAATTCATATGTTCATCTCTCAAGTCTTGACACATCGCTTCTGCTACGTGGACTTCACTTACCTCTCAGGTGGCTGTAGGTGGCTTTGACTCTGAGATACGAAGACAAATTAAATGCAGTTTCATAATTTTTATCCAGAAAAGACTGCCCTTTTCAGTGCCTCATCATACATTTCTTGTCTTATCCCTAATACTTATAATTAATAATTTTACCAAAATTCACTTAATCCTAAGTCATCCCAAAACCAAAGCTTTTATAACTCATGGTGGAGCTAACGGTGTCTATGAGGCAATCCACCATGGGATCCCTATGGTGGGTATTCCTTTGTTTGAAGAACAACATGATAACATTGCACACATGGTGGCAAAAGAAGCAGCCATTGGACTGGAGATAAAAACAATGTCAAGTGCAGATTTGCTCAGAGCATTGAAGACCATCATTAACAACCCTAGGTGAGTCTAACATTTTGTGTGTATGTAGCTAGACAATGAACCCAGGACCTTATGCATTATGGGTAAACACTGTGCCACTGAGCTACATCCCCATTTTCTTCTTTATATATGTTTTGCTTGCTTGTTTTTGACTACATAGTATTTATAGATAAGTTCTCACATGAAGGTAGCAGAGGTGAATTTGAACCTGAAAATAATGATAAGTACAGAGGTGATTAATACTGGAAGACATCATCAATAACCCTTCCCAACTGTTACAATAAGTTTTATTTTGTGTTTGTTTTGTATGGTTTTGTTTTGTGACGTCCTGTATAACTCAGAAAGACTTGAAACTTGTGATCCTCCTGTTTCAGACTTAGGAGTGCTGGTTTACAACCATGCACCTCCAATATTTTAGTGGAAAAATCAGTCAAAATATTAAGTACATAGCAAAATCTGAAATAGCTCATAAATAGAATGAAATGAATAGTAGCCAAATATTATAAGAAAGCTTTAGGAAAACACTGAATCAAGGAAAGATGAATATTATAACAACACTAACTTTCAGTACAGTTAGGACTTTTTTTCTTCATGAGGACTCACTAAATGCAATTTTTAAGATAAATGTTATTGTGTGTATTTTACATATACAGCATGTTATAGGATACCTACAAATAGCTCAGATATTATTGTGGTGAGTCACATGGATATGTCTACCATCTCAGTTACTGGTCTTCTAATAAGGTTTATGTTAGTAATGAGTAAGACATAACCAAATCTCTAATACCTATTGTATTTAATATTTCCTAAATTTTTTATGCTAATAATTGGATTCCATCACTGATAAACAAATAGGATGAATTCACCTAATTAATAACTTGGTAAACAGAGGATACTACTTATAAATATGTGCATATTCCTTGATTTTAGAACTATGGATTTCTCACCAAAACAATTAAGTTAAAAGAGATAGTTTAATCCTTGTCTCCTTCCCAGGCACTGGAACAGGACTTCTTGACAGGATAGGTGAGTGGTGAACCTGCCTGTCCTGTGCGTGCGTGTGTGCGTGCGTGTGTGTGTACATGCATGTGTACACGTGTGCGGATTTCCATCTGGCAGTCACACTGCCCAATCGCTGTCCAAAGTCCTCTCGCCGTGGAGCTGAAGCCAGCTGCCTCCGGCAATCACTACATGCTACCTGCTGCCCAGGAGCAGCAAGGAAGTTTCTTGCTTGGGTTGTCTTGGCAGGACATCAATGGCAAGAGGACCCTGTTAGTTGCGGTGTTACAGCAGAGCAGAGGGGGGAGACCTGATCCCTGGAGGGGCTCCTAAAGTTCCAGGTGTTACCTACCAGGTGCCTGTGGCAATTCCAGTGAGACAGGCAAAGAGCAAACAGGTGTGACCCTGGGCATATCCTGGAGGGTGGGTAGCCAGCCAACAGGGTCAGGGCCGAAGGATAAAGGCAAACCCTTGTCTGGGTGACCAACCATCCCTGATGGTTGTACAGAGACCAGAAGGGCCCACTGAGCACCGGAAACCTAACTCCAAAGTCCATGGGGTGTGGGGCTGAGGCTCCCTGCTCAGCTCCCTCCATGGGCCAGCATTTGGTCCCAGCTCTCAGGAATGCATATGGTGGAAAGGAACCAGGGGACACTGACCTGGGAGAAACACTTACAGGTTCTAGAACTCTCTGGGGAGTCAAGTTGCAAGAATTATAAGCAGTTGTTTCTTCTTTTTTTTAAACAGTTCTATTTAAATGTTATTCATACACCATACTATTCGCCCAATTAAAGTACACAATTCTACAGTTTAAAAAAAAGGGATAGTTTAGATTACAGCTGTTTAATAATCAAAATATTTGAAGTAAAAAACTTGATTTCCAAATTTTTTCAGTATATGTTAATTTCCACTATTCCAGTACCATTTTATTCTTACTATTAGTAAAATTCTGAATGTATTTCCTCCTTTCATAATGACTTCAAATGAAAAGAAAACATTATGTTCAGAAGTGTATTGATGATAATAGTATCACAGCCACATTTGAAAAGCAATGTTACTTTAATTTATGTGTAAATATTGGTCATCCAAATGAGCACCTTGTCAGGCTTATTTGTTTGTTTGTTTGTTTGTTTTTGGAAAACCAAGTTATTTTTGTGCTGATTTAGTGTAAACATACATCTTTTTTATACAAATTTTTTCTGCACTTTTGGGTTTGAGAGGTTATATTGAAAATGATTTCTTAATTAGCTAATACACATTAAGTCTTATGTGACACACATTTTACTAGTTTTTAATGTATTGTAAACTTCTTTACCAAGTCTTTACCTACTGTATTACAAAAGCATATTCAGATTCGTTTCCTCATCTGATAAACAGTCTTTTAGTGGTTTTTTAAATAACAGGAAGAGAAATTACCTCCATTGCTGTTGCAACTGCATCATGCTATAGCACTTGGAGTTTAGGTATGATAAACTATGTCCCTATGCACCCTTTCTCCTTGTCTATTGATCCATAATCATTTCAACACTTAAAGGTACCTAATTTCAACAAGCAAATGTATCTCAATGTAAAATGTGTACTCTTCTTCATATTGTAAAATAACAATATTAACAGGAAAAACAAAACAATAATAATAGAAAACATTTATGTGATTTTACTTCACAATGAGAAAAATTTTAGGAATCTCCACAATATTTCTCACAATAGGAAAGAAGAAAACAACTATTCCTATCTTTTCATTTAATACTAAGCAACTAGAAGCAGAGAAATTTGCAAAAAGGACAAGTGAAAGAATCAGGATTTAAAAGAAGGCAATTCAGTTCTATAGTTACAAAACAATCACTAGTAAATGGTAAATAAAAATTGCTGATAAAACTATTCATTATCAAATTTATCTAGATTATGTGCCTGGACCTTGACATAGGCATACATTTAGTTTCTAAATCATAGTCTTATTCTGAACTTGATTCAACAGGTAGACTGAAAATTGCTTGCTGGATAATTGAAATTTCATACCTTCAAATGATAGTTCTTGTTTCTGTCTTGCCTTAGTGTTTTAATTGACAACAATGTCTAATTTAGAAATACTTATACTCTCCTAGCCTTTTCATGTTTAAATCCTTTGTGTTCAATAAGTTTTGGCCTATATACTAACTTATATATAATGATCACTGAAAAAAATAATTTGTTTTTTTGAACATTTTGTGTACTCATCTTTACCATCCACACAAAAATTCACATATCTACAATTTGTAGTTCATTCTGTAAGTTGGTGTCAATTTGATTTTCCTTTAGCTATAAGGAGAATGCTATGTGGCTATCAACCATTCACCACGATCAGCCTTTGAAGCCCCTGGATCGAGCTGTCTTCTGGACTGAGTTTGTCATGCGCCACAAAGGAGCCAAGCACCTGAAGCCACTTGCACACAACCTCACCTGGTACCAGTACTACTCTTTGGATGTGATTGGATTTCTACTGGCCTGTGTGGCAACTGTTACTTTCCTTGTCATAAAATGTTGCTTGTTTGGCTATCAAAAGTTTGTTAAGATAGGGAAAAAGAAAAAGAAGGAGTAGAGGTTTTTTTTGAAGTATAAGAACCTAGTCTAAGGTCATGATAGGTGAGAATATTTGATTCTATTGAGCATGTAGATAAAGATGTGGCAAAGATTATTGTGAATATTTCACAAGACTTTGGCCTACTTGATTTTTCTATATATTTTAACTGAGTTAAACATTAATAAATGCACTTGTATAATTCCAGAATTCCTAAATGTTATTAATGCTGACATGCATATTATCATAATTTTGACATTAAATGAAGCAATCAATAAGACTAGAGAGAGGAAGTACTTCTAAAATTTTGACAGTGCCTTTTCAGAAACATACTCTATTTAATAAAATGTAATCACATGAACCATTTGCTGTCTGTCAAATAAAACAAGGTACAGATCTTTTTGAAAGGTGACAAGACAGATTTTATTCAAATTATTGAAATAGGGGCATTTAATACCCCTATTTGATAGAGTTCAGTATATAATCAACCAAATACCTATTAAGACAAAGTTGACAGATTTTCATAGAAATAAAAAGTAAGTAATAGGAAGTGAAGATGGGGGAAGTAAGATGAGAATAGGTCTACATGCAGATGAAACATTTTAAAAGAATTACTGGAATGGCCTGGCAAGAGGGGAATTAGACAATGTACAATTTACAGTATGGAAGAATCACATTTTCATGAGCAAAGAAAATGGACATCGTGGTCTCCTGTAGGGATAAAATCCATTACTTAGTACAGGCAGAAACCAAGAGACATTAGCTCTGGTCTCTGCACAGTGTTATGTCAAATCATTTGTGTTATATGACAGTTAACAATGTACATTCCTCCTGAAATCAAAATGCTTTTTAAAGAAAATCTTTGTTTCATAAATTCTTGATGGTTCTAACAGGCTTCCTACCTATACCAGGCAGATGGTAAAATCTTTGCTTAGAAAGATGAAACAATTCTTTTTCCAAATATGGCCTTGAGTACTCTCAACTTACTGTTTTTGCTTCAGCTAATATGCAGTTAAATAGTAACACACACACACACACACACACACATAAGAAAAAAAGAAAGTGTGTTGCTTTAGATCAGAATGCTAGCTGGATTTCTGCAAATTTAGTTTGGTCCCACTAGAGTATTTTTCCACATTTCTCTCCTAATAAGCAAGATCTCTTCTTCCTTGTTTTCCTTTATCTAGTTATTTCCAGCAATTTTGATACCTCAGTAGTGAGTATATGAAACCCACAATTCACATTATGGTTTTGTTAATTCTGTAATAACAACAAATAGAAAAATACATTGTAGATGGAATAAAAGGCCATTTGATAGAGAGACAAACTTAAATGGGAAAGGGGTTCCACTACCCTATCTTTAAATCTCTGCAGTTGTAATCTTTGGGCTCAGAACAGTCTGCAAAGCAAGCAAAAGACAAGAAGGAAATCAATGGAAGCTCACTTGTTCTGTCTGGTAGTAGATAGATTTAAATAGTTAATTTGATGAGAGAAATGATTATGGTTTTTGAAACATGGAAAAGATGTTTATAATAATCTTCTATATAAAAAAGTTAAGAATGAGCTGGGCATGGTTGTACACAACTGTAATCACAGGTACTCGGGAGGCTAAAACCTGAGGATCATGGCTCTACACCAGCCTGGGCAAAGTTATCAGGAGACCTTACTTGAAAAGCACACTGAAAGCATAAGAACAGGGGTGTGGCTCAAGTGGGAGAGCACTTGCCTAGCAAGTTCCATCTCCAGTACCACAAAAAAAAGAAATACTTATTAATAAAACTAACTGTGATTGTAATAGCCAGAAAATATACGCACAATGATTTTTATTAAACTTTGAATATATATTCACACTTACATAAAAATTAAACAGTAATGTAAAATTTTAAAAAATTATTTAATGCTCTTTATTATACTAATATATATTTTAAAGAGGGAAACATTTTACATATACATTTTTATTATTGTTGTACTAGGGTACATTTTGACAACTACCAAAAGTCTAGCAATATATCATAGTTGAATTCACCTTGTCCATCATTCTCCTTTAACTCCCCTCCCCCATTCCTGGAATAGTTTTAGCAGCTCTCTTTCTTAAGGTAATAATGAAACTCTCCGTATATACTACCCAAACCAAATTCCAGTGTATATCTTACTTTTAATGAATAACCTTCTGCAAATGCACTAATGACTTTCTCAGCATAGATTTTCTTTAAAATTTTTATACTACAGAGCCAAATAAATATCTCTATGACTACTGGTGTGTGATCCAAAATACTTTTACTTGTTTTAAGTTTGAAAAAGTCTTTTCATATAAAACTATATTTACACACATAGGAAGATATGTAAACATGAAGAAACCCTTAGCAGAATTATAAAAATCCAATTGTATATTTAATGTCCCAAGTTTCAACATTGTCTATGTGTTTGTTTCCTTAAGAGTGATTCTTGCAACTTTCAAAGTTGTCAGCAGTCAAAAATAAACACAAAAACTGTAAATGATCACTTATAAATGTAACATTCTTCACTTTTAAAATATCTGGGATAGTCTTATTTATTTTGAATTCAATCCTTAAAGATAGGAATATTCAAACACCACTGATCTTCGATATAAAAATCAAATAATCATGATGTCAAGTTTGAAAATAACACATAAAACTGAGTCATTTATGTCAGGGACTAATTGTATAATTCAGAGTTTTTACAATTAATTCTCATATAGAATATGATGTTCAGAATAAGTAAAGGACAAGCATCATAAAAATACTAGCTAGAAGGATTCTTCCTACATTGTTAAGTGCAGTCCGTAGAGAAGATATAGATAGATAGATGATAGATAGATAGATAGATAGATAGATAGATAGATAGATTCTGTAAGGTACAAGTGCTTTTATCCCAACAAGAAATGGAAACATTGGTGAATAAGAATGAAGAAAACTGGACCTTGGAAGTGATGTTTCTTTATTCTTCTACCACTTTCCAGATTCACTCCAGTATCTTCTATTAATAAAGATAAACATTCAGCTATCTGGGAAAAGAGAAATGTTTGCAGAGTTTTCATTTGACATCACAAAGCAGTATTTCAAACAGAGACAATAAATTTTTTACTGGTACAGCAATAATAGTATTTCAAGTTTCTAATGTGTTAGCATCCTATGTGTTATTGTATCCCTGGGTACTATCTATGGGAACATACCTATGAGTAAGAGACATTGTGCTCTAGAAAAGAAGGGGTCCATTGTGATTAATGGCTTGCTTATCAGGGTGACACTTTTGGGAAGTACTGTCTAACTTTTGGTTATGAGGTCTGACTGAAGGCATGCCCTTATAAGGCAGTTCCTGGGGGAACTCCTTGATAGTCTCATAAGAGGTTTGTTACAAAAGTCTGATATTTGCACTAGAGTTATGCTGGAAAACCATGCAGTGTGAAAAATGTTTAGCCTTGCAACCTGAATTTTGGAATATTTCATATGCAGTCTTCTCAAGTATTCAAATCTTCAACAGATTGAATGAGAGACACTCACTTTATTAAAGGCAGCCTACTTTTTTAGTCCATATTTCTATAAGACCCATCCAGAAATTATATTTAAGCAAAAACACTGGCATCCTATGACTGATACCCAAACATATCTCCATTATTAATATTCAGGTAGATACAATAACAAGGTCCACTTTTATAAAGTATGATTGGACTGTCCTGCATACAACTAAAATTAACACAAAAAAGGAGTCATGTTTATTGTTCCCCTTGATATATAGATAATGGAAAAGAAATCAGAAATACTTACAATTATATGTATATGTCTGTATATATATATGTATATATATATATTTACACATGTGTACAATATATATATTTCAATTTCATATGATATGATATATAAAAACAGGTAAATATATGCACATTTTTATAAGAATAATTTTTGATTGTCAATTTTGAGATGGGTAAAAAGGGTAGGCATGCTATAAAACAATACTCTGAATTTTTGATTTTGACCTTTTCTTTGCCTGTAATATGTACAACAAAACATTCTCCTGGTGTTGGGTACAGCATTTAGCCAGGGAGCTCATTTCTCCATAAGATCAAGAGGGTAAAAAAATAATGTGTTCAAACTCTCAAGAGACATTCAGCATTTTATAATGTAATCTTTATGTTACGTTGTTTATCAAACTCTATGGATATGTAAGTATTCTTAGTCTGTTTAAAGTGGAATGAGCATTGCTCATATCAATTATAGTTCTTTTTTTGTAATTGGTCAGATGGTTGTAACTGATCTTTATAGAGGCCTTCTTTTACTTCCCATTCTGTTATCTCTTTGTCATCAGCAAGCACCTTAGTTGGTCATGATTCTGGACCTGACAGACTAGGCCATACACTTGCTCCTAAAGGATCTGGACTGTTAGGAGTCCTACCTGAATTGAATTGTAATTTTCAGTGCACTCAAATTAGGAACTTGAAATATTCCAGGACTTTTTCTTTTCCTGTGTGATCTAAACTTAATCAGTTGTAGTCCTATAGATTCATACAATAGGTATCAAGTATTTCTCCTGCTTTCTGGAATTCTATTATTATTGCTCTAAGTGATGCAATCAGTTCCTAACTGGACTCACTTTAATGAGTTTTCTTTCTTTCTTTCTCCTTCCTTCCTTCCTTCCTTCTTTCCCCTCCTTCTCTCTTTTTCTCTCCTCATTTTACTCTGACATAATGGAGGTTGAATTCAGGGCCTTAGACATTGTACCATTTTGGTTACATCTCCGGATTGTTTTCTTTTTAATTTGTTTTTGGGAAATTGTCTTGTAAATTTTCTGGGGCTGGTCTTATATTGAGACCATCTTACTTCTTCTAGCTGTGATTATAGATGTGTACCACCATGCCTTGCTTATTACTGAGACCAGTCTTACTAACTCTAATTAATTAGTTAATTAATTAATTGCCTGGGTTGGCCTTGAATCACAATGCTTGTATCTGTGCTTCCAGAGAAGCTAGCATTTCAGACAAGCACAACCATATCCAAGTCTAATCT